CGTGTCAGACTGTCGCCATTTTCCTAAGGAAGGAAACGCCTAGAGGGAACAAAACATTTCAACTGAGTAAGTGTGCAAGAGAGACTTTTTGTTAAAGAAAAAAGAAAAGGTAGCTTTTACAATATCTGAAGGTAAATGTACAAAACCCCATGTGTTATCAAGCAAAATCGGCTTTTGTATGTGCGATTCCGATCACCATAGTCAGAAAAATCTGACTTGCAGCTTGTTAGCGGAATTATCTGAATCGACGAGTCTGTCCTTCCTTTCTGTGTGCGTGGGAGTTTTTTTTGTAATCTCTCGCACATGATTTCATATTCAGTGTAACTGGGAAACACATAAATAGAAATGCAATTGTTGTTTTTATTTCTCAAGTTGGTACTCTTAAAATCTGAGCGGGTCGGACGACTATTAGCGTTGCACCGTAACAAGCTAGCACCACCGTTTGTTTACCTGTTCTGAAAGTTTTTGCTCCGAGCTAAATATTGAAAATGCTCCAGTAAGCCGCGTAAAATATTCGGTTCCAAACATGTTGCATAAACTGAAAAGACAAATACTGGTACAGTGTGACAGCTAGCGAGTTTCCTTATAATTTCATTTAGTAGTTTTCAGGATTCACGGAGTGTTTAACGTCCCTTTTATCGAGGTTGGTGCTACCACGAGTTTCTGCCTTTAAGTAGTATTCAGAAGCTCATATATTGCATATAGTATACATCACACTGATTAATGCGAGTGCAATAATAGAAAACTGCTTACAGATAATTGTGTTTAGCACAACAGTAGCATCATACTGATTTCTGAGGATATTTAAAAATGTCCTAAAAGTGTCTAACAGCCTTTACAATTGCACTCCCATGCTGCCCACGTCACTCAATAACAGCAAAATTTCAAACATTCACCTTTAATATTTTGACACAAGCAAATGTAGCTGTCTGTAAGATGGTTTGATCACTCCATAAGATCCATCTCACTGGTTAGATCAGGCTAACAAAATTTTAGTCATGGACATAGACGTTATTTAATCCCACACAGGGGAAATTCACTTGTTACAGCAGTATAAGGGACAGGAAGAAAAAGCAAGTTAGAGATATATATTAGAAAAATAAAAATAGGGAAAAAAATAGTGTACAAAAAATACCAAATTGCTATATGCAGAAAAATGCACCACTGTTTTTTATATGTATATTAAGTGCAGTGGGAGTAATAATAATAGTAATACACATGTATTTTTTAAAACTGTATTTAAGTTACACACAATATTTTTTATTTAATGTATGGCGATGTCGAAGTTTGTTCACTGAAATTTTAGCTTAGCATTTTTACCAGTCTGGATGGTGTGATCAACACATACTCAGACCTTCAGTTTGCTGTCACAGCAATCAGAGGCAGTGTGTCCGTCATTTGGGAGGTTGGAACACGGTTTGTTGTTTTCTTATGTTTACCAGCAGCACGTCTGTGTATTGAAGCTGAACAACTCCTCTCTTTCTTCACAGGTTTTCTTTTTGTTTTTTTGTCCTTTTTGGGTTCCTGTCACCAGCCGCCATGGGGAATATGTTTGCAGGACTGTTTAAAATGTTCGGGAAGAAGGAGATGAGGATACTCATGGTGGGTCTGGATGCTGCTGGAAAGACAACGATTTTGTACAAGCTTAAACTCGGAGAGATTGTGACTACCATCCCCACAATAGGTAATACAAAAACTGTTTTACATGACACAGGAAGGAAGCCTAAAGACTCGGTTTGTTTTTAATGTGAATATTTGTTTCATATCTCCAGGTTTTAATGTGGAAACAGTAGAATACAAGAACATCAGTTTCACAGTATGGGATGTCGGCGGTCAAGACAAAATTCGACCGCTGTGGCGTCATTACTTTCAAAACACTCAGGGTACGTTATTTTCCTCATCGCCTGACATTTGATAGCTCATGTTAGTCTATTTGAACATGTCTTCTGGTTTGTATTTAGAAGATTTACACCCATTTATTTGATTGCACTTGCTCCAGGTCTTATCTTTGTCGTGGACAGCAATGATAGAGAGCGATGTGGAGAGGCTCGTGAAGAGCTCCTGAGAATGTTGGCAGAGGATGAGCTGCGTGACGCCGTGCTGCTAGTGTTTGCCAACAAACAAGTAAGTCATCAAGTCTTTTATATAAGCAGGTGTACATCATAAACACTTTTCACCTTTCCTTTGTCTAATGATTTCTCACCTTCTTTTTTTATAGGACCTCCCAAATGCTATGAATGCAGCAGAACTCACAGACAAGCTCAATCTTCATTCCCTGCGCAACCGACAGTGGTACATCCAGGCGACCTGTGCCACCACCGGAGATGGCCTCTATGAAGGGCTGGACTGGTTGTCTAATCAACTCAAGAACCATTAATGATTACGGCATTTTAAAATCCAATCTCCTCCAACCCCAATCTCTGACCTTGCTCTTTACTCTTAAGATCTTGCTAAACTGAGTTACGTTGTACTGGAAGCTGCTCTCGTGTCAGCTGTTATTACCACAAACATGCAGGCCAGTGGTGGGGGTGGGCTATTCTTGTAAAGCAGCTTTATTTTTATTTTTTTTCATATTTTATGTAAGTGTAAATAAATTTGGTAATGGGGCAGCTTGTTGCACGCTTTAAAATCCTACTGTGGTGATTTGTCTTTCTGGCTGTTGGGCAGCCATGGGTGCATTGAATAGAAAAACAAAGGCAGGGACTTTACCAGCAGATGTCGGCCTACAAACTCAATGCAGTTGAGGTTACACGTACTGTAAGGACTGATTTTAATTTTTTATTAGAAACAATAAAGAATCATACACTGATTATGCACTACTTGCAACTACTACTGGTAACTTTTATCAGTAACTAGAAGTACCAGCGCCTCAAAATAAGTATAAACACTGGCATTGACTATATGTACTGACATTGCCCCCCCACCTCCGTCACGCACAATCTGTGAACACCTACCAGCCTTTGTTGTTTTAAACTAAGAAATGTTGCATTGACCTCACATCTACCTGCTTTGGGGTAACAGGGAGGAGCCAGCCTCTTGAGCCTGCATTGAATTCTTGTATTTTAGAGTCTCAGGTTGAATATGTGCTGCCTTTGCAATGTACTTGTTAGCAAAACTGCATGATGTAGTCTGTTTGTCTTTAAGGGCATGCATTATTATCTACTGGGTGTTTACATCATACAGCTGCAAAGGAACTCTTAGCCCACTAATTACTATAGCCATACACTGTTAATTTGTTGTAAGGAGCGGCTTAGCATCCTCACTAAGGGCTCTATTAACATTTGCCTTTTATTGAACTCAAACCTGGGAATTTGCATTGTGCAGCTATGACATTAGTGCCAATGTTTTCCTTTGCAGCACGTTGGGTTTTCTTTCGTAAACTGGCCGTCCATAAATGCCTTTTTTTTTTTAAATATGAGAGACATCACTTCCCCCCTCCCCCCAAAACTTATTTGTAAAGGGTGTGGCTGTTTTAACTGATTGCATCGTTTGATTTTTAGCTGCCTAAAATGTAATGTTATTCTCTTAAGGTTGTCTGTGTTCTTATGTAAAGCTTGATACTGCAATTGATTTTCATTTTGTTTCACACCATGTAATAAAATCTAATTTTATGCTGCTTTTTGTAGGCTGTCCCTTGACATCAACTATTACAGAATTAAATGAAGTTTTAGACTATTTAGACAAAAGGATTAGGCATCACCTTGGCATTTTTCTGCTCTGCTAATCAATCTAAAGCAGAATATGAGAACACGTATGTGCAGCAATTAATTGGCAATTGATTTTAGTTGCAGCATTAATAGAATTACTATTACAAAGGCCCCAAACTTGTGTCTGTGACTTCTTAAGGCTATCACCCCTTGACCTAGGAAGAAATATGTTGCCCCAAGGTGATGAAACCACGCAGTGCTTAGGTTAAAGCAGTTATGTGAAGAGCACACCCTGTTTCACATTGTGTAAGGGTGGCAATCTAGGACCACATTCTTGCAGGTTGATTAGGCTGCTACGGTTAATGCAGCCAAGCTTGTAAAACATGGCAGGAGAGTATGGTAGTGGTGGAAGAGGAGGTAGTTTGAGTCTTGGGTCCCTCATAGGGTGGCTTTGTCTAGCCTTCTCTCCTGCTGCTTCATCAGCTTGGTTTGTGTGTGGCGGTCTAACGGTACTCGGCCATATAAATAAAAAAAAAAGGGCCAGCCTAGTTTTTTGCACTCTTCTTTTTGAATGCCTTGCTCTTTTTTTAGCATACCCCCCCAGGTGCCAGTCCACAGAATACCCTCTTTCAGACCAATTCAAGGCAAATGCAAACACTACTCTATTATGACCAGTAAAGAGCATTCCAATGGTATCGCACCAGTCGGAGCTGAACCTAGAATGACGAGGGATTACTTAGAAAGGAAAATGGCCAGTGTCTGAGTAGTAGGATGAGACGGAGATGTATAGATAGGGAAAAAAAAGGTGTCAAGAAGCATCTTAAAGGAGCAAATGTTTAGGTTTTCCAATATGAAAATGTAACCAATAGAAGTTTGTGTTGAGGGATTTTTGCCAGCAAGTGCTTAGGCAGTCAGGTGAACGGCTGGAATAGAACTTTCACTCAAAAGAATGGGGTTCAAGTCTATGCATTTTATTTGTTTTGATATGGGTTTTTTTTCTCCCTGTCACTGTTTGGTTAGGCACCAAAACTACATGCTTAGATTCAAGAAAAGAAATACTTATTAACATACACTCTTTTACAAGTTTGATTATAATCGTAGAAGGCTTCTTTGGCAGCAAGCCCTTGAAGCAACATTCCTGTGCAAAAAGTGCCAGTTGCACCATGTCTTTATGGTAACCTTAAAACAAAAAAAAAAGACGTTCATGTAAATAACTGAATGAGTCATGTCATGACAGGGTCATATAAGAATTTCCATGAGGGATTATTGTGTGTGCTTGCAGTAACAATGAGAAGGGTTGAACTAATGTTAAATAAAAGCTTTGAGGACAAGGAAGAAAATCATTCCACTTGCTTTGGAAAAAAAGTTTCTATATTTATCCAAGATAAAAAACCCAAAATACAAAGCTTAAAGCAATACAGAGTACTTGATATTTGATGATTAAATAACTCAACGTGATCAAAAACTGTCAAACCAAAACACCAGTGTCACATGAGCAACCTTCTGAATGAAGAAGTTAAAACCTGAGGCTAAAGTCTGTTACACTGATTAGAGTCCATCCACAGTCTGTTTGGCTGTTCAAGTAAATAAGGTCTTGAGGGTCTGTCAAACTGCTGTAGAGCACTCTGTCCACATTATGCATGTTTGAATCGGGGGTGGGGGTGGGCACGACATTAGTCGTCCGAGTCTGTGTCATGGCGCCGCCTGTGGCTTTGTGTAGCACCAGCAGGGGCCTTCTTGTGGCTGGCAGGGTTGCGAGGGACAGGAGATCCTCCATCAGAGGAGTCTGTGTCGTGCCGCTGCCTTCGATGATGGGGGTTGGAGCGCTGTTGCTCGGCCTTTGCTCCCCCCCTTGAGTGGCTGTCATGGGGTCTGGCTCCGCTCTGACTAACGTATGATGGATTATGATGATGGTGGTCCTTTCTGTGCCTAAAAAGTACAAGGAAACAAATAGTGTTGGGATTAATGCTGTGAGGGTATGGAAGAATAAACGGCACCTGCAAGTGGAAATAACTGGCTGTTTTTTTGTTTGATAAAATTGTGTTCAAGTTTATTGTTATTCTTTTCCTATCGCACAAGTTACTGAAGCA